GCGCTAGTGTCGTGGTAGCAACATGCTATGTGTTTACATCCATCGCTGCCATGTTTGTAATGACTTATCATGAGAACAAACGTATTCACGTGACTTTAATAACATTTATTACTGAATGGAAACACTGCAGTTGTGAAACTGTGTTTTTTCCGACTTTAACAGAATATCGACRAAGTTTTGCGCACATTTGCGATGGAAACACAGCAATTGTTTGGGTCAGACCTCTGTGTTCAGTTAAAGGATCGTTAGTCTCCACAGGGGGSTGTTTTTATAAAGGGACACCTGTTCGGCTGCATCCGCTTGTTTTACTCCTCCTGATAAATAAGTCTCTCCTCGGGCTGGTCTCCGTCTCAGGAGTCGTTTTACTGGKWMCCAGTAAAACGACTCCTGAGACGGAGACCAGCCCGAGGAGAGATTTATTTATCAGGAGGAGTAAAACAAGCGGATCGGTTCCCTCAGAAGGAACCTGCTGTTACCTTTGGGTGGGAAGTAGGATTTGCTCTCAGCTTTGTGGGGCCAGTCCACCACCAGGTGCCCGTAGCGCCGGAAACTGTTGGTGATCTCATCTACGAAGACAARAAAAAAAAAAGTGATTTTCAGGATGTTTCACTCCCTCCTGGTTGTTCAAACACAAACTGATCCTAAAGCCCCAGAGTGTTCTGGGAAAGGTCCAGCTGTGAGTCGGGTCAGAACAGAGCTGCTGAGTCAGAGACGAGCCCGGAGCTGACCCAACAGAAAACAGCCCCCTCCTCGTTTTACCTTCGTCGATGTCSGGGGGCAGTCCTCCAACAAAAACCTTCCTGGAGTAGCGCTCCATCCTCTCCCCGTTCTGACAGCGGGTCGGCGAGTTCAGGCCYGGCGTCAGAGACGGGTCGCTGTGGCCGTCGTCAGGGAAACCGTCTTCAAAGGGAAACAGACAGGAGCGACCTGGGGGGGCGGGGGGCATGAGTTCATCACAAACTGAAGCATAATGAGAGAAACCAGGGTTCATGCAGGTTTTATTAAGTTAAATTTAAGACCTTTAATAATGACTTTTAAGACCAAATCGACGCATTAACAGAAAGATTCAAATGGTCCAATTTTATAATAGAAACATTTTATTGCCATCAATTTATTTTTAATACAAGAACACTAAATTATTTCAGTGTTGTATAAAGTACCTCAAAGTGACACTTGAGTAAAAG